GGGCGATATATGTCGAGCCGCGTTCTGGCCCGGGCTTGTCAGGGGAACGGCGGAAAGAGTTGGTTGCGCCCGTGCGTGGACTCAACGACGCCCCTCTCTCGTCTCTTGTGGCATCGCACCCTCGTTGATCCCTGAGGTGAGCTCAGTTTCAAGCCCTCGCTGCTAGAGCCCTGCCCTTGGCCGAAGAGGTCCAGTCCTGGCGAGCTCGAGCCCCTGATATTCATTGCGGTCGACGGTTGAATCGTTTTAGGGGAGGCCGAGGTCTCGCCCGATTTGAAGAGGCGTTTCTTTGAACGCGTCAAGTTTGACGAGTGTGGGGGGGCGGGCGGACTACGCAGGGCGGCGCGCGCGTCGGCGCGAGGTGGGATTGGCGGCCGTCGATCAGGAGGGGTACGTTCGCGAGCAGCTGTCCCCGATTCCCCTGGACAATGCCTGACGGGCCCATGTTGGCAGCGCGCTGACTCCCTAGGAAATTTCGTCCAATCGGGCTGCTGTCGCCTAGATCCATTGGCTGGGGCGTGAATCGCGCGCGGGCGCGGCTGGCGGCGCACCCATCTTAGCCGCGGCTCTCCCGGGGCCCTTGCTCCAGGATGCGCTTGTGGCTAATGAAGTTGTCAAGTTCCTCCGTGCGTCGGCGTCTCATTTTATCGCGATCTGGCCCCAGGTGCAGCCTCGGCCGCTTTAGCGACGGCGCCGGGCGCCAGAGGTCCAGGATCCGCTCCTCGGGGCGGAACCCAGAGCGGAATGCTAGCGTTTGCTTCGGATAGTTCGATTCGGGAGAACTCGAAGGCCGCGGCGACTTCGTTGACGTGGAGGTCGCAGCGTCTAACAAGAGCGGTTGGTAGTGTCATTGCAGCAGAGGCCTTGTCAATTTCCAGTGCCGCTGCCGAAGCCCAGTGGCTCCATATCACATGTGCGGACGCGTTTTTCGGAAACGCTCGGATTCCTGATTGGACGGGTTCGCAGGAGCTTTTTCCTGTGATTCTTCCTCGGGACTGAGATCGGCGAGGCGGCGCCCTCCCTGGAAACTGTTGATGCGAAGAGCGTGCTTGATACTCTGTCGAAGAAGTTGGCGGGGTCAAAGGCTGATCACCGCAACGCCATTGAGATGGCCGTTATCAGGAATGCATTGGCCCGTATCGGATCCCCAAGTGCGGTGGCTTCCGCATTGCACGATGCCGGCAAATCCGCTGACCAAATTTGCTCCGCCCCGTGGTGACGCTGCGTTGCATGATGTGCTGGCTCGCGGATTTTTGTGTTTTGTGGATGAGCGGGCCGCGTGGATGAGAGAGATCTCGATGTTTCGCTGAAGAGCAGGTCGCGATCGGCCCCCAGGAGAGCCCTGGAAGCGAAGGTCTCTTTTGAGCCGACCGATGTGCGAGGAAACCACGGCGACGGAGGAGAGGAGGTTCAACCGAGGAGACAGGTCGAGGAAGGGAAGCGAGGAGGAGAGGGAATGAGGGAGAGCGGCGGCGGCCCAGCGGGAGCGGCGGCGGCGCCCGCCCCGGCCCGCATATCGCCCTCGAGAAATTCAGGGATGCCGCCCCGCCAGCGAGGGAGAGGGGAGGAGGCAGCGGAGGATGAGGGTCCAGCGTTCCTAGCGTTTTTCACAGACGGGCCCAAAGCCACGAGAGTTTCGTCCGCTGTGCTCTCGGAATCACAGCCGCGAGAGATTCGCCCGCTGTCCTCCGATGGGCCCAACGGGCCCGCGCGCGCGCCCCGCTCTTTTCTTCTTTTCCCCCGCCCGCTGTGCCCGGCCGTCGTGGCCTAGGCGTGCACTGCTAAGTGCTGAGCGCTTCGCGTTGTCCAGAGGAAAAGAACAGCACGCCCCACCAGCATAAGCATACCATCCACATTGTTCATGCATTCGAGCCAGTACCTGGGCTTACAGTCGACCCTTCCACGCAATCCATATCTACATGCCACCATGCACCGCCCAGCCATTCCAATCGACGCTGCTTTCGCGTTGAGGCCGACATGTAAGCACCTGCGGGAACATTTCAGTCATCCATCCGAGGCCGTGAACTTCCAAGTGCCAGTTCGTGGTCTGTGTTACTCCCTTGCATCACCACTTGATCCCAATCTGGAGAAGGTGGCGCGGAGCGCTAGTCAGAGCAGTCATCTTCTCCCGCCTCACCTGTGTTGTTCACTGTTCACCCCGCCCTTTTTCCATGCACCTCCCGATGCCGTGCTCGCTTGGTGTCTCTCAGTCTGGAGGTCTCCTGATGCCCCCAAAGTTTCCAGTGGCCTCCGGAGGCCTCTGGGGGGCCCTTTTCGGGCCTCCAGGGGCCCATGGAGGCCTCCAAGAGGCCACGAGGCCACACGTGTATGAACATCTGATCGAAATCCTCCTACTCCTCCAGTCCTTTCTCCTCCTCCTCATCATTCCTTTCTATTCCTCGCTTGTGAGGGCGTCAAGAAGAAACTCGGGGGCTGACCTGGCTGCGGCGCCGCCGCGGCGCCGCGGATGGCCGCGGGGCCCGATGTGTCGCCGCGGGAAGAAACAAAAAGGTCAGTGCCACTTTCCTTCTCGACAGCCCGTGCGCTGTGGCGTAGCCTGTCCGAGCACGGTTCCTCGTGGGCAGCTGTGTGCTGCGCATCCTTGGGTTCACTCAACATCGGCGCGGCTCGCTGATGGCCAAGGTCAAGAGTTTCGGGCCACCTGCGTGGATCCCGTCACCCGTGCTCTCCCTCCTTCCTGTCCCTCACTTCCTCCTTCTTCTCCTCCTCCTCCTCCTCCTCCTCCTCCTCCTCCTCCTCCCCTCCTCCTCCTCCCCTCCTCCTCCTCCTCCTCCTCGTCATCTTCATCCTCCATTTCCTCTTTCTCCTCCTCCGCCTCCTCCTCCTTCTCCCCTTTCTTGTCCTAGTTTAGTAGGCAGCGTGCTATTATGTCATACCCATCGGCTGCTGCATGCCGAAGCCAACAAGAGGGCATTGGGTGCAATTCTCAGTTTTGAAGCTCGCGCTATCGGCCGGGCCGCGAAGATGTTCACCGATCTGCCCCAGGGGCACGGTGGAAGGAAGGAATCATTATCGACGCTGTGCCTCCTCTTCCTCCTCCTCCTCTTCCTCCTCCTCCTCCTCCTTTTTCTCTTCCTCTTCTTTCCCCCCCCCCCATCCCTGTTCTCCTTTCTCTGGTGCGCGGAGCGCGCCTGGGCGGCGCCAGAGGCGCCGACCTTGGACAGGCACACATTGGGCAACACCCGAGCCATGCCTGCCCCATCGGTCTCCTGTTCCCGCCGGGAATCCACAGCCGCCCTGGGCAATTTTTCGATTACACGTTCAAGAGATCCGACGCCCCAGAAAAATTGCAGCGGACAGTTTTCGGCAGTGTTCGGCCTCTGGGGGCCCTCGCCGGGCATCGGGAGCGTCAAACAACGCCTCAGGACGAAACACCCGCCCCAGGGAAGTGGTCTGGACCTCCAGGGCCGACGCATCGAGCAAATTGGAGCAGCCAGATGTCTGGTTAAGCGTGATCCTGGGCGGAATGACCTTTGGTGCGGGTCCATTTCGGCCCCCCGATCGCCGAGCGTGATTCGATATCAGCGTCTTGCGCGCCTCTGTTTTGTCCCCCCCGGCCCCCAAGAAGCCGCCCAACAGAGGTCAGTCTTACCCAGGGTCACTCTTGCGTGTATGTAGCCGGATTTTCCCTGGTTCGATTTTTGATCGCCCCGTGGCCAGAGAAGGGCCTCCACAGTCGGGCCGGACGAAAGGGGGGGATAGGGAAAGGGGGGGTTACGAAATCTGCTGCATGTAGCTGGTTGCGGCCCCACCGAGGGGCCCATTCCTCGATACGTGGCCGCCTCCGGCGCGGGGAGGCGCCGGGAAAATCAGCTACGTGAGCTGATTCTCAACCCCCCCCTTTGCTATCCCCCCCTTTCGCCCAGTCCGACACAGGCAGACAATCCCGAAGGATTCCCTCTAACCCCTGACCTCGGATTTCTTTCTTCGTTTCGGCGCAGCCTGACGGGCTTGGAAGATGCGCCCCACAATCTCCTCTGCTTAGTACGTGAGTCAGGTTCAAACGGCCGTCGGGCACAGGTGCGCAATCCTCCAAACCGATCGCCACCGCAAGGAAAGACGAGACAGGCGTTCACATGTGAGGCGCTCCAGAGAAGGCCTCGCCTTCGAGGGATCCAGAGGTTGCAATCTCTTCTTCGGCGGAAGGCTGCGGAAGGCTGGAGGAAGGCGCGGAAGTAGAACGAGGGCGGCGCCGCCGGCGGGCCGGCGGAAGCCAGCGGAAGGAAAAGATGTGCCCCCCGAGATTTGACAACGTTTTCGGGTTAATGGTCTCTTTGAACGAGCTATGTAGGTCCCCTCCTGTGGTCGAGGGCCCCCAAATTGTGTGGTGACCACGCCGCTTTGTGAGTACGTGGGGATGCCGGGTCACCGCGCGGTTTTGGGACTCGGGTCGTTCTCCGAGGACGTCTCGGGCGATTGGGGCCTCCGAGGTCCCTCTAACGCCCCTCGCGCGGTCAGATCTCTTGGCATTTCAAGGTCATCGCGCGGTCTGTCACCACACGGTTTTGGGTCCCCTGATCCTAGGGCGAGAACCTCGAATCCAGGAAGCCTCCATGCTTAATGCGTGCCCAAGAGGTGTCCATGCTGATCCGTCCAATACAGAATCTAGAAGCTTCCAGTCGAAACCAGCACTGCTCATTATGTGGTGTGTCACGGTTCATGCTGATGTTCATGTTGTGTTCTGTCATTTTCTCGGATGCTCAAGAGTTCTCCGCAGATGCACCGCTACAGAACACACTGTACGTTGTGGACTGCTGTTGGCCGTTGCGTTGCGTTGGGTTGTGTCGCATAGTGCATGCCGAGATTCCCCGACGTCATGTTTTTTCTGTTTGTCGCAATTTCAATCCCCAGGGGTCTCGACCCATTCCCCGGGACCAGTTCTTCATCCTGAGTAGGATGTCTTCGACGGTCCCGAAGCCAGGTGAGGGCCCCGAGAGGCCGAGCATAAAGACGAACCTCCTGCTGTGATTTCCTCATGACTCGAGGGGGTCTGGGACCCCCGGCGTGGCCTGCCCGCTGTGGCGCACGGGCCCTCCCGCGCCGCGTGCTGTCGCCATGGCCGCGGGCGCCGCGGACGCAGCAGCGGGTGGCCGGCGGGGCGCAGATGGGCCTCGGCCGGCCGGGTCCCCTCTGCCGCTTCGGGCGTCTGTTGGACGGGGCCGGACGGACCGATCACATCAGAGGAGGAAAAGGGTACCCACACCTCTACCCTTCCCTCGTGTTCTCCCCGTTTGGGCCTCCTGGGAGGCCCTCGTCGCCACCACGGGGTTCGCCTCGAAGTCCTAGTCCGCGCCCAAGGAGAGGTCCGAGGAGTAGCGAGTAGCGGTATCTGTAACCTGTGGTCTCCCCAGACGGATCCGCCAGAAGAATGCACACACTTTTGGCGGTAGCGGCCTGGGCGCGGCGACGGGGCGGAGTGAGCGTAAAGACAGTGCACGAGGCGGCCAGGCCCTCAAGCATCACTTAGGATGCGGTCCTACAGACATCTTGTAAGTCCGCGGGCGCCAAGTGGTCCAAGAATGTCAGACACCGGTCAGCAAGCGGTGGGGTTCACCTGGAGCGATTTGAGGCACGAAGGCGACAAGAAACAGAGCGCCATGAATGCACACAGGCACCCTCCAGTGGATTGATTCCAGACCTCAGGGGAGGGTGGCGGTGTGTAGAGCAGCGCTGGAAGCCAGCGACTCTATACACCGCCCCCCTCCAGGAAGGTATAGGCAAATTTGTCGGCGGATGCCTGTGTACATATTTTCGTGGCAAAACAACACAGGGTCGGGGCTTCAGGGGGCCCAGTATTGAAACAATCAGGGCGTCGCCTGTCTGGGCCCAGATCCCCTCACGCGCAGCCAGCGGGCTCGGGGCCGCCCAAGTGGGGCCTGACCAGATGGGTTCGGTCGCAAATCATGGGAGCCTTGTGTGCATTCCGTCTTTAGGGTGCGCTAGCGTCAATTAGCGTCGGGGAATCGATCGGATAGAGCCGATTTAGCATCGAACAGTGTCGATTAGCGTCGAACAGTGTCGATTTAGCTTCGCTCAGCTTCGATCAGCGTCGATTCGCAAGAGCCAGCAAGATGGTCTGGGAGGCTCCCATGGGTTACCACCTGAGATGATGCGGGATGATCGCGCCGCATCACCGATACATGAGGGATGTGCCGCGATCTGTTGCCCGATCTTGTTCGCCCCGGCGTGACCGATAACTCGCCGATGCATCGGCGATGAGGTGCGATCGGGAAGCGCAGTCGGCCGGAAGCAGCGCGCATCGGAGGCGCAAGCTGCCCGAGCCAGGCCGCGTCGGCAACCCGACCGACGCTGCCTGGCTCCTCGGAACCTCTGGCGGTTCCGCCAGGCTCCTCCACAACAAGTTGGAACCAACAAAAACCGACGAGAACGGGCAAGCAAGCGAACACCTCCGAAGATCTACCAAGGAAGCTCGCCCGAAAGGCTCCCGCGGAGGGGTGCCTGATCTTTCGGCCTCATTGGCTCGGACCTGGAACCCGCCTCCGTTGACGTATGGCACAGGGCGGCGCGCCCGTTTGTAGCTCCCCACCCTCCACCTGGGGGCAACAAATCCACAGGAGTGGTAGGGCAGCACGCACTGCGGCCCTGGCGACCGCCACCAACAACACCGTCGTCACCGTCACCGTCACCGTGTGGAATTTGTGGGTACAAATCGGCGATGCGGCGCGGTATGCAGCCCCTTTTTCGTCACCCCGGCGCGGCCAGGCCGAGGCATCGCGGCTGCATCGGCGACGTGGTGCGATCCTCCAGGCCCCAGCTGCTCGAGCCCTCGTTTGTCACCGAGCGCGTTCCACTGCTCTCCGAAAATGCCTGCTCGCAAGCGTCTGAGCAAAAACACACATACTTGCCTCGATGTGATGGATCGTAAACCGGACGGGGCTATGATGAGGATCAATTCGTTCCAGAGCGTTCCAGAACGCTCTCAGAGCGTTACGGAACGGTCTGAGAAGGCCGCGGCGCCCGAGAAATTTTCCAGAGCCGACGGATCTCAGAGATTCTCGATTTATTCTTACTCGATTTGACCCTCGTCCTGGCTTCGTCTTAGGAAGCCCCCTCGCGGCGGATCCAGGCCAGTTGCGAGTAGTCACGGCTGTTTCGCGTCGTGTCGACCAGCGGCGATCCCGCCGCCAGCGTTCGACGTGGAACGCTGCCGGCGCCCCAGAGTCGGTCGGTGTTGAACACTCGGACGTGTCGGAAACGGCCGACGAGTCCAGCCCGAACGATCCCCGCGGTGTGAGGAACCAGCGGTGCTAGGTGCGCGTCGGCCCCGCAGGGGCAACGCGCAGGCTCGGAGGTCCTCGTGGCATCGCGAGCTCCGTGGCGGGCGCTTTCGGGCGCCATGCCGCTCGGGAGGCGATGCGCCACGTCGCTGGCGGAGCAACGAGGGCCGAGGAGGTCAAGAGGACCACTCCTGACGGTTGGGTTTGCCAACCGCCGCAGGGCGATTGCGTGCGTGACAGTGCCCTGGAGCACTGCCAGGGAGGCCAGACACCCTTCGCAAGCCGTCCCTTCACAGACCACACCGCTGGCCACATACCGCCGGGGCCTGCACGACACGAACCTGCCGCACTCTGCGAGTCGTGGCGCGCGCCGTGGCGTCGGCGTCGTCTTGGGAGCTCCTCTGGGCGTGTCTCGGCAGGCTCCTGTCTGCCACGGCCTGGGCGCAGGCTTGGGGCCATCGAAGGAGTAAAAGCGTTGCGATTGAACTCGGGAGAACAAGAAAACGGCATACAATTCAGGGGCGGCCTAAAGAAGACCCCTGGCAAACCATCCCCTTCCGTGATGTCCCCCTCGCCTCACCCCAAGACCTACGTATACGGCCGGAGGGAAGTTTGGAAGGCGAGGATGACGTCACAGAAGATGCTGCTCATGGGCTCGGTTAGGCTGCGCTCGAATAATTTCTCGGAGGTCCGCTCGGAGTTCTGAGATAGGCGCTGGGCCCCCCCTTGCGGCGCCTCTGGCGCCGCCCCTGGCGCGTTCCCCTCGCCTGGGAAAGGGGGGTCCAGCGCCGATCCAGGAAGTCTGCGCGGATCCCTGAGAAATTACATGTTTGCTCTTACGAAAGCAATACAGCCAGACCGCATGACAAGAAACACCCATGCAGGCCTGCCAGATGGAGTCCGAGTAGATGGAGTCGTAGGATCGCGCCGCATCGCCGATGCATCGCCGCTGCTGCTCGGTGTGAAGCCTGATTTTCTCCATGCCGATGTCGCCGATGCACCACCGACGTTGCCGATGCATCGGCGATGCGGTGCGATCTTCCGGCCCCATCTGCTCAGACTCCATGTAGTAGACCTCTCAAAAGAGGTACATCCGGACCGAATGACAAGAACCATCCAATGCTTTGTCGGAGTGCGTTGGGTTTCTTTGGTTGAGTTCGACGTGGAAGGTTGTCGCAGGCATCGTTCTGTTTTTACAATGCCCGAAATTTGCATTTTCGGACGCCTTGGGTTTCTCGTTATCAAATTGGTTCACGCAAGCGGTTAAGAAATCGCTCGGGTAGGATACCCTGGGTTCTTCGTTTTCAGTCGACATGCTAGACGCCCAACCCTGGATCAAGAAACCCCGGCGAATTTCAGGGTCGGTATTCTTGCGGTCGGTTTCTGGTGGATGAGTTTCTTCTCCTCGTGCGGAAGGAATCGGAACAAGGACTGACATAATTTGTGTTCCATGCTGAACCATGTTCGTTGTCTAAACTATATGTTCACCCAGTTCATGTCCAACAGTGGTTCGCAGCCAGTATCGGCCCTCCTTGCGCTGCCTGCGTCGTATCGAAGGGCATCGGCATCGGTGGACAAGCACACATGAGCGCTCACGCACGGTTCTGAGGATCACCGACGAGGTAGGAGGCGTGGCGGCGTCGTGCTTGCGCCCGCTCGGACCCGCCCCCAGCACAGGCGGGAATCGTGTCAGGAAGCTCTTCGGATGGTTTCCTTTAGCTTGGGCGCGGTGGCCCGGGGCGTGCCCGCCCAGGTGGAGTGCCCAAGGAGGAGGAGGAGGTGCAGCCAATCGTCAAGCAGCCCGAGGAGATGACGCAGCAGGAGCGCTCCGACTTCGCCTTGAGGTGCAAGGAGGTGGGCAACCGTGGCTTCAAGGCTGGCGAGTGGGACTACGCGATCCTGTCCTACCAGGAGACTTCGGGCGTTGCCAAAGGCGCCCGCGGCCCAGGGCGTCCTTGGGAGCTCTCCAGAGGCTCCTTCCCAGGCCTCCAAGAGCACCCCTCCGCAATGTATGATTCATCTTGCCAGAGCGCCATGCCGGACAATTTCCTTTTCAGTTCGTCACAGCCAGGCGAGGACGGACAAACCGTAACGCTGCGAATGGTGCATTTGTTGCCCCACTGAGTGGACCCTTTTCATTACGAGGGGGTTGGACATGCAGTCTCGTTGGCAACCGATCTAGACCATTCTTCGAGCAGAAGCCTATCCGTGCAGACGAGCGCATTCAGTTTCTTAATTGTTTTGGTTGTTAACGGAGCGGCAAGGCCTTTTTCTGTCACCGAAATGGCAGTGTTTGCGCTCTTGAAGTGTGTTCTCTAAGGGGCGAGTGTGCGTGTGTGTGTGTATGTCGGTGTCGGTGTCGGTATCGGTGTGTCTGTGTCTGCGTGTGCGTCACGGACAGATCCCCCTCTGGCAGCGCTGCCCTCAGCTATCCCTCCCTGCCCCTCTTTACCCCTCCTCCTCCCTGCTCTCTTGATTCCCTTCTTGCAGCGCTGACCGCAGCTATCCCTTACTCCTCCTCCTCCCCCCAACTCGTCCTCCTCCTCCTCCTCCTCCTTTTCCTCCACGTGGAGATCGTCGGCGCTGGCGTCCCGAGCAAGCGTTTCTTCATCCACGTCCTCGGCGGGCCTTGGGCTGGCGGCAACAGAGCCGTGGCCCTCGCTCGAGCTCTGCGTCTCCCTGGCGGCGGCTGGCGCAACTTCACGGTCCAAACTCCCGATGGACGGCGCGCTGCTCTACACGTGGGCTCTGACAAGGCCCCGCGCCAGATCAGACGCGAAATGCACACTAAACGACTACTCCTCCTACTTCAAAAATCTTACTCCTCTGGCAGGGACTGGACGGCCGCACGCTCCACGGGGATCATCAGCTGCAGTGCGGTGCCCATCCTCGAGGTCGTTCCCCAGGGCTTCAGCGACCCCTCCAAGATCTTCTGGCATCCCCACGCTGGTATCCCAGATGAGGAACGTCACCGCATCATCGAACAGTTCCGTGCGGCCACGGCCTTCGCCACCGGGGTCGACACTTCAAACTGGTCTTGTTCCTAGCCCGCGGTGGCAGCCCTGGGAGCTCTCCTCGACCCAGGGCCACGGCATGACCAAAGAGGACGGCCTGCGCACCGCTTCTTGGAACGCCGATGGCTTACGCTGCCATCGGACCCACAAGAGGCAGGGCAAGATGGCGCGCCTGGCCAAGCTGATGCAGAAGCGCATGTTGATTGTGATTCCGGAGGCTCATGGCCGCGAACCTGCCCTTTGCGCTGCCGTGAACCAGTTGCCCTACCACTACCGTGTCTTCTTCGCGCCCAGAACGGCCCCTGGCGTTGGTGGGCTGGCCTTTCTGGTGCCTTGGCACGCAGAGGCCACGCTACAGGCGATCAACCTTGCCCATCTGCCCCACTTTGACTTCAGGGTGTTGGCCAAGGGCCGCATCGCCTCGCATACCATCCACAACGACTTCACGAACGAGCACATCCGCATCATGAATGTACACAATCACGATATCCCCGAATCCTGCCTACCTGGGATCAAGCGCTGCTGGATGGAGGGCGCCCGATGGGCGCAGGAGGATGAGCGGCATCGATTGTTCGTGGTCATTGGCGACTCCAACATCGCGGACGTCGAACCCGCTTCCTTGCAGCGTCCTGCACCGCAAACTGCTGCGCCCACCACGCGACGACCACAGCCGCCGACTGCGGCGGAGTCTACTTCATCCACTTCTTCCACTTCTTCTTCCACTTCTTCCACTTCTTCTTCTGCATCTTCTTCTTCCACGGGCAGTACTTGCAGTAACATTTCTGGTCGCCTCCTCTCTGTAAGCAGGCTATCGGCCTTGCGGCGGGGACAGGGGCCAGATGTCTCCCAGCAACTTGTTCCTCGGACAGTATTCGTTGATCCTGATCAAATCGATGCCCGGAGCCTCACCGATAATCCCGGTGCTGGGGGACTTGGCATTGCTAACCCCCGTGCGGTTGGCCATAGTCCCTCAGTGTGGCATCGCGGCAACCAGTCACAAGGCTTCTGGAGGTCGCTCTTCCAGCAGTCGATGGTAGAGGCATGCTGCGAGTATCCGACCCACTACTCCAAGCGGCACCAGACCTGCTCCTACATCGACCGCGCCTTCGTGTCGTTGCAATCCCACTTTCTCTTGGAGACGGCCGTCTCCTTCAACATCTGGCAGGAGGCCGCCTCCTTGGCGGCATGGGGCCTTAGCGACCACGCCATCATCCAGCTCCAGATCCGCCCGCGTGTTGCTGCTGCCCCGGCGGATCGGGCGATCCCGCCAAATGTCTTTGCGTCCCCGCGCTACGCGAAGCACATCAAGGCGCTGCTGGACTGCTCCGCCCTGGACCAGCTGGGCGTTGACCAGCGCTGGCGGACGGTGAAGGACCAGATGGTTGAAGTCGGCCGGCTCACGCGCAACGAGTTGCAGCGTCTGCCCATCGGGGACGGCTCTGAGGAGGCCGAGGCGGCAGGCGCATTTCTGCACGAGCGGTGGCAAGGGCGATTTGGAGACAGGATGTCCAGCTCGCCCAGCGCCTGCAGGACACCACGGCCTTCGGCGCCCGCCACCTCACGATTGCCGACGACGATTGCATCTCGCTCACAGATGCGGAGTCCTTCGAGAGCGGATGCCGTCTGCTGCACGCTGCCTGGCACGAGCGGCAGCAGAAAGCGGCAGCGGACCGATTGCGCGAGGAGGCTCGCTTGCGGTCTGGTGGAGATGGTCCGTCGGAGCTCCAGTTGAGGAAACTCCAGCGGGCGGCCCAGCGGCGGGCGCTGCTCTGTGTGCCCTATCGCCGCCGCTTGATCCTCGCAGGCATTCGCGATGATGGAGAGGGGCGCGGCACGGCGATCGAGCGGGAGCCCACGATGATCATGGACGCGCTCAGGAGGTTCTGGGGCCCCGTCTTCAAGGACCAGCCTGTGGACGAGGCGGCCGTCAAGGCCTACCTAGACCAGCTCATCCCTGACTTCGAGCGGCCACGGCCACTGCTGTCGGTCCCCTGGCCGGAGGCGCTTCGAGCCGCCTTTCGGCGCGCCCGGCCAACGGCGCCCGGGCCTGACCGGCTCCGCGCGGTTGCTTGGCTGGCGGACGAACGGCTGACGGACGCGCTGCACGCCCTCATGTCTGAGTTCTATGCGGGCAAGGCTGCACCATGGGGTTTCAACTTCTCGGGCATGGTCTTCGTGCCGAAGGGCGACGACCCGACGGACGTGGTGGACGTCGCCAGGAATGCAGCCAAGCTGAGGCCGTTCTCCTTCAATAACTCGGACGCGAAAGCTGTGGCCGCAGCGGCGAACAACCAGCTCTCGCAGCTCGTCTGTGAGCGGGCCCACGGCTCCCAGCAAGGACTCATTAGAGGTAGGGCTTTCCTCTGGCACATCGTTCGTCACGATGCGATTGCGAGAGCTGCCGGCCACCACCCTGCCTTCCTCCCCCTTTTTGTCTCCCTTGACCTTGCTGCTGCATTCCCCTCCCTGTCTTTGGCGTTCCTCCATCATGTGCTCGCGCGGCACCGCGTCCCGACCGGCTTCCAGAATGTGATCTCGGCTCTGTATATTGGGACTTTCGCCCACACCTGCTGCGGCTCCCAGAGGTTCCCGCTCTTCATGGTGACCTCGGGAGTTGCCCAAGGCTGCCCCCTCTCGGGCACCTTGTGGGCCTTGATCGTGGACCCGTTTATCCGGCATTTGGCCGCACAGCTCGAATCGCCCGAAGCCCTGCCTCTCTGCCCTGGGCCATGCCAGTGGACCCCAGGGCTAGAACCTGAGTTTGGTGCGACGGCGGACGATGTGGGCGCCACCCTCCCCTCGATTGGCCTCCTCCCTCTTCTTCGCCCACCCTTCGCCGCCTCCGCGCGCTTGCGAATTTGGCGCTCCAGCCAGCGAGGTGCGCGGTTGTGCCATTAGGCGAGGCTTGCGATGAGGCCGCGATGCAGAAGTTCAAATCTCGCATCGCCTCGCTTATCCCTGAATTGGCAGACTTTGCCGTCAAGGGTGCGACCGATTTTCTCGGAATGAAGTTCGGACCGCGCGCCACGATTGCTGAACAGTGGGTTTTCCCCTGAGAGTAAATGGCGAAACAGAGTTAAGGAACTGGCCCTCTCTAGAGCCCCAGCGGAATCATGCTGCCGTGTGTACAATTTCGGCATAGTTTCGGTGCCCAACTACGTCTGCCAACTATTCCCTCCTCCGCCTCCTCTCCTTCGCTCTGAGCGCCACGTCCTCCACCGCCCCCTCCGCCTCCCGCCCAACTCATTCGGCCTCTCGGAGCTCCTGGGGATCGGATCTTGGCTCCCGAGTGCCACGCCTCGCCCGATTCGGGCCCTGTGCGCTGCCGCTGCCTGGAGAACCGCGTTCCACACGTTGGGGACGGCGGGTGGGCGAGTTTGGCGGGGGGCTCTCGCGATTCTCAGGCAGCAGGCGGAAACGCACGGAGGTTTTACTCGCTTCTCGCGTGGGCTCCTGAGCCCGGCATGCCGGGAAAACCCGTCATCCATAGGCGAACGCTTTGAACATTTGCTCTCGGAGTCCTGGGCCCCGCCAGACATCGCCCGTCAGGCGTGGGACACGACGACCCGTGCTGCACGGATCGAGATCCACGGCGCCCGGCTGGAGGCGAGACGCCCTCACCCCCAGCGGATCCTAACTCGCTCTCTCACTTCTCTTCCCCGACTCTTTCCCCTCCCTCCTTGCCCGAAGGATTCATGCGTGGCTCCCCCATGACCCCCAGATCCCCGTAGCAGAGCTCGGGCGGAGATGGGAAGCGCTCCGATCCATCCTACCTAGCTCGGACTCCTCCTTCGTGGGCTTGGGCACACATCAAGACATTGTCCGGCGGATGGACCACGTCCGCACGATGTTCGAGCGCTACGGAGTGTCAGTGTTCGTTTGGATGCCGAGCCCGAGACTCCTTCCAACGCTACCTTGTTTGTCCTCGTCTCGCTTTCCCTCGTGGTTTCCTCCCCACCTGTCCTCTCACACGCCTGGGGCTTGGCCCAGGACCCGATTATGAACTCGAGTATCCCCGCCAGCGCTGCCACCATATTGTAGTGCTGAGCTCCCATCTTTACCACAAGCTGAAAGCTAAACTTGCGGGCAGGCCAAGAGCGGCCACGCCCACCTACCATTACGAATTACGAGCCGCAGCCCTCGTCGCGATGCGATGCTAGGGCCCTGGCGGTAGTTGGGTCACCGTGGATTCAATCTACGTGCGCTCCTCCTGCTCCCCCTCCTCCTCCCCCTCCTCCTCCTCCTCCTCCTCCTTCTCCTTCTCCTTCTCCTCCTCCTCCTCCTCCTCCTCCTCCTCCTCCTCCCCCTCCCCCTCCCCCTCTCCCTCCTCCTCCCCCTCCTGAGCAACTCGTGGTCACACTCTGCCTTCTGGTCGGCTCCAGGAGGGCCTCAGATACCTGCAGTACGCGCCGCACGACGCCGAGTTCCAGCCAGATCGCTCCTTCGACCACGGAGGCGAGGCGGGCCTGGCGAGGGACATGGCGCTGGCCGTCGACCTCTACAACAATCTGTCTTTCGGTCGCAAGGCATGGGAGCCTTGTGTACGGTAGAGGGAAGCAATTCATGGACACTCTCCTTTTCCCCGAATGCAAAGTAGGCACGCACGGACGAGAGTGCGGTCGAAGTGCAACTCATCAGACCCACCGCCAATTTTGAACATTGGGGGGAGGGCGAGGCATTGGCCGATGAATGTGGCATGAGTGTTCGCTACTTTTCCGAGGCCTGTACCCTTGTAGTTCCGTCTCTAGACTGCGCTAGCGTTGGCTAGCATCTGGTAGTCGATGAGATGGCGACGGTCTCGCGCCGATTAGCGTCGCTCTGCGTCGACGTAGCGCCGGGCAGCTTCCATCCGCAGGAGCCAGCAAGATGCTGCAGCCAACACGCTGAAACAAGGACCGCTCTGGGTTTGACAGGGACTCGCTGTTGCTTGGGCCATTCCGTTGTTGTTCCTCTAGCCATCCTCGTAATCGCGTTGATGTCGCCACAAAGGGGCTCAGTTCCTTATTCAGCGTTCCTTACTTCAGCAGCCCAACTGTAGCGTCGATTTAGCGTCGACTAGCGTCGATTCGCAATAGTTAGCAAATGGTGTGGGAGATTCCCGTGAGTTGCCACCGAACTGTCCGCGGCGCTGCTGAGCGCGGGCGAAGCGCGGCGCGCTCTGGACTGCTGCACGGAGGCGCTGCGGCTGGACGCTGGCAGCCAGAAGGCGCTCTTCCGGCAGGCCAAGGCCGGCATCACACACACACACACACGCACACACACACGCACACACGCACACACGCACGCACGCAAGCGCGCACGCACACATGCACATACAGCCGCACTCGCACACACGCACACATGCGCACACACGCACACACTCACACACGCACACACACACACACGCACACACGCACACACGCGCACACATGCACACACACACACACACACACACGCACACAAAAACACAAAACACACACACACGTTCACGCACACACACACACACACACACACGTTCACGCACACACACATACACACACACACACGTTCACGCACACACACACACACACACACACGTTCACGCACACACACACACACTCACACACACACACGCGCACACACATACACACACAAACACACACACACGCATGCACGCGCGCTCAAACACAGACACGTTCACGCACACGCACACACACAATCACACACACACACGCACGCACACTGACACACTTTTTCACGTCGCAGCGCGGCAGAGACGATCCGCACGCGCGTCGGGGCGAAGCCGGGGCGCGGCACCGCGAACTAGCCCGCAGGCAAGAGGGAGGGAGGGAGAGAGTCCACCGCAGAGAGGAGAACGGAGCGCGGGGGCACACTCACGCAGCGAAGATGCGGCAGGTGCGCGGGCGCGGCCGGGCTGAAGGGTAGCCCCTGGCAGCGGCTGCTGGTCGGCGTCGCAGTACACCCAAGGTGTGAGTCCACCAGCCCCAGTGCGGGCAGGGCCCAGCAAGTGGAAGAGTGGGAGTGGCAACCGACCAGAGAACCCTGGCGCTGGCGGGGTGGGGGGCAGCGGCGCGGGAGCCGGCGGCGGCAAGGGACGGGGCGCTGGCGTTGCAGCGGCTGCTGGGGGCCCAGAGCGGCGGTGGAGGGGCAGGCTGCAGGGGCAGCCAAGCGGGACGACCCGTCGCGGGGCACGGGCATGAAGGCGGGGCGTATAGGAGAAAATAGCGCCACTCCGTAGCCGATGCACGGCATCACGGCAAGGAGTTAAGAATCGCCCAATGCAAGTCGCGCACGGGCGGGGCCCCTGGGGGGGCGGACGAGCCCGACAGGCCGTCGAGGTGGGAGCCGTACGGCACAACGAGAGGCTGGCTGCAACGGCGGTGGCCCTGAGTATGGCAGCGAGACTGCGGGCAGGGCAGGACCACCTGTGCACGCATGGGCTGCAAGGCGGCGCCAGCTTGAACCGGCATGGTGCACCTCTCGCTAGGCGAGAGCGGTTCGCGGGGGGGGTCGTGCAGCCCCAAGGCTGGTGCACGGCATCACGGCCTGGGAACCGGCGGGGAGGGTCGGGCCGCTACGCGAGCCACCCGGGAGGTGGCAAAACGGGAGGCAGGCCGCAGCAGCGGGGACCCCCATGTGTGGCAGCACACGCTGCCGACAGGGAAGTGGCCCGTGTTGAGGCGCGGGGGGTGCAGACAGCACCGCCAGCAGTGAAGACCCAGCGCGCGGTCCGCTAGGCGAGGGGCGAGGCCGGATGGGGGGGGGGGGCAAGCGGCGGGAGGGCGGCGAGGCGGGAGGGGGTGGGGGCCGCCCGGGCACCGCTACGCACCGCCTGGGTTAGACAGTTCGCAGGAGCCCTGAGCGGCGGGCGCGCGGCGCTGCGCGGCGGAAGTGCACCTAACCGGTGCGCTGACTGGTGGGAAAGGAACAGGCGGCGCTCTCCTGGGCTGGGAGGGCGCCGACATCGACAGCGGAGCCAGACACCGCGAAGCAGCAAACCTGGGACCCAAACTGGTGGAGAAAGCGGCAGCCCTCTGGGTTAGAAGGCCCACCGCGGTCATCCCTGAAGCCAGGTAGAGGTGCGCCTAACTGGTGCGCAGACTGGTGAAGAAGCAACGTGCGGCGCCAGGGTTGTCGGCCAAGCGCCGTCCCAGCGGAGTCTTTGAGTTGGAAGGCCTACCGCAGTCGTCATATCAGCCAGGTACACGGTTGCACCTAACTAGTGCGCGGATTGGTGGAACACGCGCGTGGGTCGCCTGGGTTGGGCGCCCGCCCGCTAATGTGAGGCCGGGGAGCCAGCAGTGCTGTCAGGGCCGCCCCGGTGACCACAATGCTTCATGCACCTCAGAGCCCTCGCAGGCGGGCAGGCCAGATGGCCCCGCTGTGCCGCTTGCCTCCCCGCCTTTTCCGGCAGTTTGCCCCTGGCGGCTTTGCTGCTGCCGCCAGGCCGTGTTTCAGTCAACGTCCAGCCGCCTGTTGTTGCAGAGGCGGCGTCTGTCGTAGTTGACGGTGGCCAACTCCGCTACGAAGGCCTGGCAGAACTCCTCGTGGCCTCTGGGATTGTGGGTGCCTTTGCCATGGCCCTTGTTGCCCCGCTTGTCGCAGGCCTTGTTCCATCCATCATTCCACGAAGAGTGCGCCGCGCACCCCTTTAAGGTGATTGAGCACCTCGGCCCAGGTCTCAGTCCTGTTCTCTGTCCGAGACCACTGCGGTGACCACTGGATGCCAGACCTGGGGGTTCGGCACAGCCGGCCCCGTCGCTCCCCCCAGTCCCTCCAGCCGGAGGTACTTTTACCTGCAGGCTCTATCGTCCCAGGTAGCGCGGTCCCGCTGCCTGTCACGGTCCCGGTTCCAGTGAGACCAATTTCTTGTCCACCCCGTCTCGTCCCGATTTCCATGGGTGGGTCTCCAGGTCTCCCGGGCTTCGTAGGGCGCGTCCGTGACTGGGGCCTGGGCCATGCTGGAGGCGGCCCCCGAGGCGTCTGGGTTTCCCCCGCCACGCTCTTCGGGTGTTCCTGTAGGGCTTGCTCTGTTGGGATTTCCAGGCCAGGTGTGTCCGGCTGGGCCCATCCCATACCGTGAGCCAGCACTCGCCTATGCGAACGCACAGATGTCGCCCCGGTCTGATTTCTTCAACCAGCTCTAGGATCCTTGCTCGGGAGGCGTCCGAGAGGAGGTGTTCCCCGGGCTCGTCGGGTAGCGCGGACCAGCAGGCCGCTCTGTATTCACCTGCATCGTCCCTGGTGTACATGTAGTCTCCGACGCTGGCGAAACGTGCGGGTCCATTGTGCATTCCAAAGAATACGGGTCTGACCGTGGGGCAGAACCCTTCTCCTAACGCAGCCCCCGCGCTCGCCCCCAGCGAGGCGGGTGGGACACTGACGCTGTGGCACCCGCTGGGGCTAGGGCCCCAGTCCGGGGGAAGGCTCCCGTTGGGGCTGGCATCTTTGGTCTTGCCGTCGTCCACGTCGGGGTTGGAACCGGCCAGCTGCACCTCGCGGATGCTAGGCGCGGGGGCTTGGCCCACGGCGTCCCCGGCCAGAACATCGTGCGGCTCGCTCGGTGCTGCGGTGCGCGGCGCCTCGTGGTGGCCCGAGCGAGGAGAGCCCTCGGCTGCGTGCCTGCCAGGTTCCGGGTCGGTGCGCGGGTCGGCTTCCCGCGCTCCACGCTCTCCGCGCGCCCTGGCGAAGCTGGGCGGCGCATCCCGGATCCAGGTTTGGCGGGACTGAGATAGCCGTCAAGCTGAGCTGCATCTATCCGCTTTATGCCTTCGCCGTCCAGTAAGGCTGCCCGTGTGTTGGCGTCATGGCGGAGGGGGTCGGCACCCCCTCTTCGTGGTTCTGGTCCCTAGGAAGCTCCGCCAGACCTGCTTGAAGTGGTTATCGGCTCCCTTTGTCTTCCCTTTGCCTGCTACCCCCCAGGCGACGATGTCTGCCAGGGCAGCGCGCCCCCCGTCGTCCCAGGGGCAATTATCTGGCACCCCGCTTGGCGGTATGTCATCATTGTAGACAACGGTCAGGAAAGCCAGGCATTCTTCATGCGCCCAGCACCTGGCGTCCTCTGTCCGTTCTCCATACCTCCTGTGCTCCTTGGCACATTCCCCTTCCACGAACTCGCGCCATGCTCCGTCGATGCTGTAGCGCAGCTTGCGGGCGTGGTCGACCATGACGTGTGCGAGAGCTTGGTCGAGCCTGCCTCGACGCGCCGAGGCCTGGCATGCACTTTCCGGCGTGCCAGGCTGGGGCAGGCCAGGGGCGGCAGTGGGTCCAGGGCAACCAGCGCTGCTGCGGGGTCGTCGGGCACCACCGGCGGCGGGGCGCGTGCCTCGTGCTGGATGTCCGGCGGCCTGTGCGCCGGCCTTGCAGCGCTCCTGGCCCTAGGGTCACCGGGAAGGTTGACAATATGTCCTCGTCCATCCGGGAGGGCACCTTGGAGAACCCACTGGGAAGGACCGGGCTGAAGTTCTCCCAACTGGTTTGGATCCTCTCGCCCTGGCTGGTGGCCCACTCCACCAAGTGCGCGTACCGGAACTGCAGGCGCGTCTCTTCTCATGTCCACGAGTCGCAGTCTACGGTCCCGGCCGAGCGGGCGCGCCCATTCTCCCGCAGGGTTTGTAGGAAGTGGCGGGTGCGGCGTTGTCTGCGTTCCTGGGTAGGTATCTGGAGGAGAAGGCGATCCGATGCAGGTTCATGTCGGGGCCATAGTTGCACCTGACGTAGCCGACTAGCCTGACCATCTCGCCCGCTGTCAACTTGTCGATCCAGCGCTTCGACCCAGTGGAGGGGCGCAGTAGCCGGGTAAGTTGGGCAGCCCGGTGTCTAGGAGCCCGGGACCCCCCAGGCATTCTCGGGTCCGCGCTGCGGTCTACGTCCGCCCGGCTGGCGCGGGAGTCTGCGCGCGCCTGCCTGCTGGCCCCAGGTGCGGGAGAGCGCCTCCTGTGGGCAGCTGGGTGGGGCTACAGCTGCCGCTGTGCCTCCTCCTCCTCCTCCTCCTCCTCCTCCTCCTCCTCCTCGGTGGGGAGCTGTGCGGGCGCCTCCGGCTGGAGCCTGTGCCAGTTCTCGTCCTGGAGGCATTGCCCAATTTTTCCCTACCTAGGCTCTGCCTAGAAGGGTTCTTACTCTCTATCTTAAAGGGGCCGGGCAGTGGGCTTCGCCCCGGGCGGTTCCCCCCAGGATCCGCCCCGCGGTTCCCCCAGTTACGTCCCCTTAGCTTAGCGTTGCTTATCTCATCTTAGCTTAGCTTATTTCATCTTAACTTAGCTTAGCTTCATCTTAGCTCAGGATTATCTTAGCTTAGCTTACCATCATCTTAGCTTCGCTGAGCTTTAGCATCGCAGAGCACAGCATAACATAGCATAGCGTAGCACAGCATAGCGCAGCACCTCATATCATAGCATAGCCCAGCATAGCATAGCATAGCGCATCATAGCATAACATGGCGCAGCGCAGCGCAGCGCAGCGCAGCACAGCACAGCACAGCACAGCACAGCACAGCATAGCATAGCATAGCATATCATAGCATAGCGCAGCATAGCATAGCATAGCATAACATAGCGCATCATAGCATGGCATAACATAGCATAGCATAGCATGGCAACTAATGCTGCTTTCCTAGGGGCTCCAACTTCTAGGTAGGGTCGCACTGGGGTAATCTTTCTCTCGAGCTCTTCAGACCGCCCTCGATGTGTGTGTGTGGGGGGGGAGGGGGCTTGCTGGTTGCGCCCTCGGCGGCGACCAGGGGGGTGACGCCTGCCTGCGCCTGCGCTGCGGCGACTGCCTTCTGTCGTCCCAGCTTCCGGCGGCCGCGTCAGGTGCTGCCCGATGGCGGTCGCGCCATGCCACGTCCAGTGCGGTTTGAGCCTTCGTCCAGCGGTCCTTCTGGGCGGCTGGCCTCTCCTTCTTGGCAGAGGTGTCCAGGAGGTTGGCGGTGTCCAGGTGCTCCTTTGGGGGTTCCCAGATCCGTAGCGGATCCTGGCTGGTTGATCTCGGCCAGGAAACGGCGCGCTGCGCCCTCTGGAGCTCCTAGCCTGTGCCCAGGTCGTGGTTGCTGCTGGTAGCAGGTGCGGAGGCGGCGACTGGCGGGTTCACATCCAGGCTGGCCGCAGGACCGACCTTTGGGCGAGCAGTAGGGTTGGCCGGGTAGACGCGCCTCCCCTCCTTCGCCAGGATGGTCTGCACGTCAGATGGTCGCGCGTCCTAGCTGTCGACCAGACACCCGGAACAGTACCACCGGGCATCCCATGCCCTGGCACGGAGTGCATTCCCCCCATCGGCAAAACACGGGAGGCCACATACCAGGTCGCCAGCGCAAGCGTGGGTGCTGTGCCGAGGCGTGTCGGGCTGGAAGGCGAACATCCCAGGTGGGGTCTGCCCTGCCTCCCAGACCAAGGCCAGTGCTGCCAGGGGACAGCCGTCCCACTTGGCCGCTTACCCCTTCTGCCCGGCCTGGTTGCCGAACCCTTCTTCGTCGATGCGGTGCCAGGGGACGCTGGTGGAGATGGCACTGGGGCGCCGCAGGCCTACCTGGGGTAGGAGTAGGTCCGCCAGGGGCTTGTCCCCACAAGGGTTGCTGAGGGTTGCCCCGCTTCTTCCTCACGCTCAACTCAACTGAGAACTTTGGGCCAACGCCCTGCGTGAGTTCGCCTTAGATCCTCTCTTCCAGCGGGGGTGGGGTCAGAACACGTGTCACCGAGTTTGCCCAGCAACCGTGTTGTTGTAGCCCCCACAGTGACAACGAACATAATCAGATCTTAAGTCCAGCGTGGACCCTCACACGACGGGCTACATGAGCGAATGCCATTGCTACATGTACTTGCTTCCCGAGGGGGTTCATATTAGTGCCATCGACATGCACCACGTCATAAAACGCACTATTAAGCTACTGGGCGCGCAGCAGGCCATTTGCGTCCGAGTTGAAACACCTACTGCATTTAGTCCCCGACTATCTATCACGTGTCTGGAGGAAAAGAAGGCACGCTGTGCGGGGGCGAGCGGTTAGGCAGGAGCCTCATGCTTCTGCTTCCGAGCCCTGGGGCGTTCAGGGTGTGCTAAACGTTCGGCCTGTAGACTTTCAGTAGCCGCCGGAAGGAGTCGCATTCCAATTGAACGAACTTCGTGCTCGGTTAATGCACACTGCTGCCTAGGAGCAGTGGGGACGCGAGCTTCTAACGCTGATCCTCCCGCAAGGTCATCAGCGACTACATGGTCATGCTCAGGAGAACTGGCAGCTTGTCCGTCAGCGATGTCTTGCAGAGTCTGAAGTGCTCGAATGCAGGTGAGCATAACGTCGCATCGCGGTGCTCGCACGGCCACTTGCGCACGGATCCACACATCTGCATCTGCTCCCTCGGGCGTGTCAACGTGCCCATTGTAAACCATGAGTTAGATTCCTTCACTGTCGGTGAAAAAACGACGTCTCCCACTGTTCTCTCCTGTGTCATCGCAAAAGCCATGAGCTCCCCACGTATGACGGTCTGCCTCACTCCTGGCAGGGCTCCCCGCGCAGCACCGTCGGGGGCCATGCCGTTCTTGTTGATATCGGTGAGCACGCCAAGCCCGACCCCGACACGCCGTAGGGGACTGATGGTTCTGTCAGGTCCACCGCTGGCGTTACCGAACGCATCGAGAGGCTCGCCCTGCCCACCCCCGAAGAATCCCGCATGAGATGTGTCCGTGCCGTAGGTGAACCGCTCTTCCTGCCTGACAGGTGGCGGTAGGGCAGTCCACTGACGAGGGAGAAACCCTCGATTCCAGAAACATTACTTACATGTGCAGTTGTGCGGTGGCCTCGGGGATGAGGTGGGTTGGGGCCTCGTCGATGATGTTCTCCATTTGGCATCTGCACGTCCAGGTGTGGTGAAAGCAGGTCTCCTCCGACTCCCCGCACCTCTCGCTGATGCCTTTTGTGTCAGCCATCTTGACTTGGTTCTTGACCCGAGCCTTTGACCACATGGCCCCAACTGCGACGGTCAGCATGAGTGCCGCCAATCGAACACCGTTGGCCGTGGTCTCTATGTACCGCAGCAGCCGCCGACACGAATGATTGTTGATGCCGCTCTCCATGCCACCTCCGCCGTAGTGCTTGCTGGGCTGTTCCTAGCGCTCGTTCTGGATGCTGACGTCGAAGTCGCTGCTCATGTCGAAATTCGAGTGTATCGATGCTGTTGTCAACGTTGGTGGGAACCGCCATTCTTTGGGCTGGACTGGGTCCCAGTCCTGCTCGAGAAGGTATAGGATGATGGCGGACTGGGGCCCGCGAACATGGTGGACTCGATGCTTGAGGGTGGAGCTCTCGAAAGTGCTCGACGACCCTTCGCCACGTGAACTGAATAGCCTTCTGTAAAGGGCCAACCTGGATCCACTGGCTGAGCCACGCGTGGATAGCCTCCCGTGGGAAGCGTCGTGTTCGGTCTCGCCCAGCTGGTTTCAGGTCCAGGAGGGTTGTCGAGTGCCTTCCTGGAAATCGGAGACCGACCGCATCGCCCAGGCGTCGTCGGAAGATGGTAAGCTGGGTGCCGCAGACGCCGCGTATCGGTGGCCACAGGTGAACCCAACCCCCACCCCCTCTTAGAAATCGTGGGGGGTGGGGGTAGGGTTCAACTGCGGCCACCTAGTGGAGCTGATGCCCGTGGGTCCCTGCAGCCTGCCCGCCCTGGTGGGCGAGCCCCTCAGTCACTCGGTACCGATGGGTAGCCGTGGCCAGGCGAACGATCTTCTGTTGCTTCCGCCTCTGCGTACGATTGCCACGCGCGTGTCGAATTCCAGCGCCCAGGTCGTTGCCCAGGTAGCTGGCTTGGGATTTCGCCTGGATGGGGAATCCTCGCCTGGCGTTGTCCTTGCTGGGTCATAAGATGGTGCCCGTCTGGGCTATGGAGAGGCCTTGCTGCTGCAACTGGGTGTAGGTGTCGGTGAGACTCCGATACATGTGCTTACTGGTCGCTCGATGTGCTCCCTGCATCCGTTGAGATAAGTCGTCGACCGAAATTCTGAGAGAAAGATTGGTATGGATGTCATTGGCCCGCTGGAGGGCCTTGAAAATTACGACTTTGGTGAAACGTGTTCCTGATCGCAATCCTTGGACCACTGACCTCGTAGGGAATATGACCTCTGCGTAGACCCCGCTCTGGGTCAAGGACCTCGGGGCCTTCATCGGAGGATCTCGAGGCCTAACACCTCCGCGGGGACGTCCAGGTCGAGAGCCTGCTTTCCCAACGTGTCCCACGCGATCGAGCTGTACACTTGTAAAATGTCCAGCAGCCCGTGACCCTGTTTGGTCTGAACATGGACAGCCAGCTCTTCACGTAAGGCTCGGTCGTAAGCCTTGCGCAGAGCTGAGTCGCTCTTGGTTGCACTTCCGAAGTGATCAACACATGCTTGATTATTCTCCTTAGCTGCATCCTCGCAGAACGTGGACCACAGCCGAGCCACCTCAGGTAGGAGCCCGATGATGCGGTGAGGAGGGGGGAGGGGGAGGAAGTGGGGAGGAAGGAGGATAGGAGCACAAGAGGGACCACAGGAGGGCTCTCTGCCCATGCAGAGGAACGGGGGAGAGATGCCCAGGAAGAGAAGAGAGGGGGATGAGTGATATCGGTGTGCGGGAACGCCCATCCGATGAGATATGCTGGCGGGGGCAGGAAGAGGAGAAGGAGGCGGGAGGAGGACTTTTCCTCCTTGCACCTCCTTTCTCCTCCTCGTACTCCTTATCCTCCTCCTTCTCCTCCTCCTCCTCCTGTTCCTTCCCCCTCTTCCTCGAATAGTCGTAACCCATAAGTGCCTCCTCCTCCTCTTCCTCCTCCTCCTGCTCCTCTCCCTTCTCTCCCCACTGCCGTTCTCCTCCCTTCCTCCTCCTCCTCCTCCTCGTCCTCCTCCTCCTCGTCCTCCTCCTCCTCGTCCTCCTCCTCCCCCTCCTCCTCTTCCTTCTCCTCCTCCTCGTCCTCCTCCTCCTCCTCGTCCTCCTCCTCCTCCTCCCCCTCCTCCCTGCTCCCGTCCTTCTTCTTTCTCCCCCCCTTCTCCTTCTCCTCCCCCCATCCTTCTTCTCCCCCTCCTCCTCTTGGAGCGCGCCCAAAGGTCTGCCTGGCGCTCGGAGAGTACGACCGCGCCTCCGAGGCTGCCCAGGCGTTGCTGAAGGCCGCGCCCGGTAGCGTGGAGGCGCTGCAGCTCGCCCGCGCGGCGGAGGCGGGCGAGAGGAGCTCGGGGCATCGTGGAAGCGGGGGGATGATGAGATAGGAGAGAGGAGGGAGGAGGGAGGTGCGAGGAGGAGGAGGAGGAGGCCCTGCGAAACCTAAAAGGCTTTTGACAGATTTCGGCGCGACAACGCGCGCGTGCACTTCGTCCCGTTTGTTGCAAAGGATTCTCGCGACAGCACGAGCGCAATGGCGTTCGAACGGTTTTTAACATGCGCGCGCGAATCCCGTTTGATAGCATTGGCATTTTATGAACCGTTGAAAGACCTAGGATTTTCAAAATAATTCTCCAGAGCGCGCGCTCAAGTTGTGTTTGAACATCCGTGTTGCGACACCATGTGTGTTTTATATTATTGCTGGTCACGTCGGCATGCGCGCTCGACGACGCGCGCACTTCGTCCCATGTGTTGTAAGGGTGTATGGAACAACGTATTAGTTGTGATAGATGAGTGCGCGCGCATAGTTGTCTCCAGAGGAGAACGGGGGGGGGGTCGATACTGGTTTCCCTGGGATGGTCTGAGTTCATATATGCGATGGGCGATGGACAGACCCATATGTAAATTGCAATGCGAAAAGGAGGGATAATCCTGGGGGGGGGGGTAGAATCTATTCTTTTTAAAGAACGGAGAACTTGTGTTGTGCAACATGTTGTGCGCAGTCTATGGTGTGTTCTCTCTGTTGTGAAACCGATGTGGTGCAATCCATGTAGTGCAACCCATATGGTGCACCACGCTGTGCAGTCTACGTGAAACAATAAACTTGATGCAATATGTGTGTTGCAACCTATTCTGTGCTATATATGTTGTTCAACCTATGTTGTGCCATATCGCGGCGGCAGCGAGCGGCGACGGCGATAACAGGGCGGTGACGGCGACAATATATTTCCCAGACCGACAGAATGGCCCAGATACGGGTGGCGGCGAGGCGGCGACGTGGCGACGACAGCGGCAACATAGCTGCCGGACCGACAGGCCCAATTACGGGCGGCGTCGGGTCGGCGACGGGGCGGCGACGGCGGCAACAAAGCCGCCAGACCGACAGACTGACAGAGGGAATTAATAAGTTCCTCCTGTCGCACCCCCAGATTTGTCGGCAGGGCGGGCCGGTGTTTCGCCGGAAACCTCCTCACCATCCATGCAGTAGGTTCAGGGGTCCGTATGTTTGACAATATCCTCACGACGTAACATTAACGTTGCTTCGTGGTGTCGAAGGAGTCTCAAAGATGGTATTCTGGCAAGACGTAGGATTGCCAGGACGCGGCTGTCAGGTTAAGTCGCAGCGCTGAAGCCCCAGGAATGGTGTTTCGGCGCAGTTCCAGATTCCCAAACGGTTGTGTTAAAATTGAAAATTAACCGCAAAGAGACAACATTATTTGGGGTATGCGTCAGGGGCGACTTTGGAGGGACGGTTCTTCACAACATCATTGATGCGTTTTGGGTTTACGGTAGTGGCCCTCTTCTTACTCATCCCATTATCCTTATAAATAATTCTTCGCTGTCGCAGCCCCAAACGTGTTAGTAGGGCGGGTTGGGCGTTTCGCGTGAAATGTCCCTTCAATTTTTGATCATGAAGCTTGGAACTCGCAGCAGCTTCGCGGATGGAGGGCGGGTGGTTGTCAAGCTGTGGTTATGGCCGAAGCACTGCGCACATTCGTCTTCAACATTTGTAGCCACTTCCTGGATACAGGGTGGTTCGTTGTCAGCATGTGGTCATCGCTTGAGCGCCGCGCACAATCGTTTGTTAACATATATAAATGTTTCAAGGGTGGAGGTCGTGCTGTTTTCAACATGTGGCGTTCGCATTAACACCGCGCACATGAGTTTTGTTTACAACAATTTAAAGGTTCGTGTGGTACAAGACCCTGGAATGGTACACTGGCACGATTTAGGGCTGTCAGGGCGCAACAGTCACTTTGATTCGCGGTGCTGAAGTCGAAGGAATGGTGTTTTGGCACGATTGATGATTCTCAAACGGTTGTCTTCTAGGTGGGCGCTTACCGCAATGGCCATAATTCATACAAGGGGTGCGGTTTATTGCATCACCGTTGATGCGTGTTGGTATTACGCCGGTCCTCCATTTAGTCCTCCTCCTTTTCCTCCCCTTCCCCGTCCTCCGACTTCTTCTTGCACAAACGTTAGGCTACACGGTATCATGGCAGTCTGCACGCTTGAAGCATAGCAGGGACCAGGGTTGGGCCATGGGCGTGTGGCTCAAGCCTGGCCAGGCTCCGCGCCCGCTCCACATACCCTTCAGCTTGACACGCAAAAACAGATCTTGTGCCATCGCTTTACACTCTAGTTGGTAGCGGAGCGCGTCGCTCTACCAACTGCCGCCATGGCCCGCGTGACTTCGCCCCGTGCCCTTGGCGGTCTTGGGTGCACTTTAGGCCCGGGCAGGCATGGGTGAGTGCTTCATAATGTACGCGCGCGGACACCTTGGAAACGTCGCCCGCGCATGCAGCTCAAGCTCGGGGCGCAGGGGCGAAGAGAGGGGGGGGGGCGCCCCCCCCCTTCGCTGCCCGCGCCGAGGGGCTGCGAGGAAGGGGGGGCGACGGGCCGCGGTGGCCGCGCTCACCTTGCGATTTGTTTTTTCTCGGGTTTCTCTGCTGTCTTTTGCGCTTCGCATCCATTTGCTTGGCGGTGGCGATGGCAGGCGAATGTGGATTGGCCGCCATAGGGAGTACGTTGCCGGTCGACGCGCGCGCTCGCTTCTGGTGTTTCGTCAGGGAGGTAGGCATCGAGGACGTCGACGACCTGGCATTTTTCTTTACCACGGTGGAGGCAGCCGCGGCCTCGGGACAGGAGGAGGCGTGGCGGCGAGCTCGGCAGCTCGCGGGGCATCCGCGAGTGGCAGCGTGGCACAGGGTGGCCCGCGAGGCGCAGTCAGCGCCGCCCGCGCGCAAGGCGGACGCTCCGCCACGCGCGCTGGCGATGGTCCTCCCTGGCTTGCGCCCGCCAAGAGGGGGGCGCGGCGTGCAGCGCGCGGCGGCGAGCGCCTCCGGCACAGAGGAGGCGGACGCCGCGCAGCGCGCCAGCGCGGCCGGGGCAGCGGTGCAGCTGTCCGCGTCCTGGGGCCCAGCGCACGGCTTGGCGCGGGGGCTCCCCGAGGGCCAGGCGCAGCGCTTGTGCGGACCCGGGTCCGCGGCGGCGAAGAGGCTGGCGCGCTTCGCGAGCGCGGGGGTCCGGGACGCGCTGCGCGTCTGGGCGAGATGGGAGGCGTGGGCCCGAGCACGGCAGCTCGAGCCCCTCTCCGCGGAGGCTGCTGGCAGCACACTGATGGTGGACGAGTTCATATGTCATATGTGCGGTGAACAAGCCTCCGGGGTGCGCGTGTGGAATCGGTTGAAGTGGCTGCAGAAGTATCTCGGTGCGCCGTTCGCGCTCGAAGACGCGATGAAGCCAGACGCGCGGCCCGCGAGCAAAGCGGGGGGAGAGTTGCGGCAAGCGACCGTGCTCGAGCCGTGCATGGTATCGTTCCTGCATCAGATACTTGCCGCACAGGCAGCGCAGCGCGGTTGGCTCGAGGTTCCCGCCGCTGCAGCGATCGCGCTGTGCCACGGGTGGCTGAGATTCCAGCATTTGTCACGGTCGTACCCGATTGAAAGGACGAGAGCGCTGGCCTGGTTCAGATGTTACCGCGGAAAGCGCGGCGGATGTTTCGATTGGTGCCTGGTGCGGACCGCGGAGCCGCGTTGCGCAGCGGATGTGCTCTGGGACGCGTGGCATAAGCGCGCAGGGGCTGCCGGCGAAGGCGCCCCCCTGCCAAGGGGCCTCGCGGCGCACGAGGATACGGGGCAGCTCTGGCGTCTCGCGCACTTCTCAAAGTTTCTGCAGTCTGAGATCGGCCTTTGTCTGAATTCACCGCTCGAGAGGAAACTGATCACGTCGTACAGCCTGAGGCGTTTCATGCCGACGTTGGCGGAAAGCGTGCAGCTTCCGTGGACAGAGCGCGTTGTTGGCGGGGGCTGGACGCCCCGCGATGGTGGCGGAAGCACCGGCGCCCCGAACATGATGCCGTTGCGATACGCTGGAACCAGACGTGAGCAGCAGGGTTTCGTCCGTCTGTACATGCACGAAGTGTTTCACGAGGCCGTGGCCAGCTTGCCAGCCCCCCTGCGATTCGAAGGGGTCAAAGCTTGGTGGGATACGCCAGCCGCGCAGGAGGTCGCAGCGGGCGCGCGGCGCCGCGCGATGCAGCTGCTGGCGGCACAGGGCGCGCCCGAGCCCGCGAAGTTTCTGCCGCCGGCGGTAAAGAAAGAGCTGGCGCGCCGGCGGTTTGGCGCGTTCACCGCGTCCAATTACGGGGAGCAGAGCGCAGCGCTGAGGCGACAGTTCCGCAGCCGGGGCCGCCGCGCTGCCCAGCCGCCGCAGCGGCCGCGGCGGGCGCAGCGCCTGCGCGGGATCGCTGGTAAACGCGCGCTAGAGGAAGGCGAGATCGGCAGCGATGAGGAAAGAGACAGCCAGTCATCCGCAGCGTTGCCCGTCGAGCGGGCAAAGCCGGCAGCACAGCCGAGTGCCGGGGAGCTTGCGGGAGCAGCGGCGCCAGCGGTTGGAGCTGCCCCTGCGGCAGCAGCAGCGCAGGCGCAGGCAGCGCCAACGTCACCCCTTGGGGGCGATGTTGTTGCAGCAGCAGCGCAGGCGGGCGCATGCGGCGCCAGGGGCTTTGTAATTCGCGCGGAGCGTTTCTTTGCCGCGCAGGCGCAGGCAGCGTCACCGTCGCGGGCGTATGTGCAGGCAGCTGCAGCAGCAGCGCGAGCGCATGCAGCGCCAACGTCAGCCCTTGGGGGCGACGTTGTTGCAGCAGCATCAGCGCAGGCGGGCGCACGCAGCGCCAGGGGTCGTCGTGCGCGGAGCGCTTCTTTACCGCGCAGGCGCAGGCAGCGTCACCGTCGCGGGCGTATGTGCAGCCCGCTGCAGCAACAACAGCGGTGCAGGCGCACGCAGCGCCGGGGGGGAGCGTAATGTGCGCATGTGCAGCGCCGCCGTTTCGTTCAGGCGCACTCC